TTCACAATCAATCATGGCTTAGTGAAACAAGTTTTTGAGATTGTGAACTAACGTAAATATTTCTTGTAAACTATTTCTTGTAATACAGCAAACCAATATTCGCTTCATTATTACGTTGTTTTAACTAGACAGAGATAACTCTGTCACTAACAATATCATGGGATTTTTTATGATGTAGTAAAATGGTCACTTCATACCTTATATCTGACTTGATTGACTTTCATTAATCAATACCTGTAAATAATATTTCGGTTACTAACGAGTAAATAATAGTGTTTGTTGGATTATTTATCGAAAATTGATTGAACTTGAAAACGATCTGTATTGTAGTCTAGTAGCATTGGTTCAAACATATTATTTTTGTTGTAAGCTATTTATGACTTTGATTAGATTTCAAGTTAAGTAATCGGTGAAATATTCTTAGCTAAGACATATAGCTGTGCAGTTTCAAATCTGTCTCCGAATTCAATTACTTATTACCAACCGTTGGACAAAATAATGAAGAAATAGCTGAGAAATTTCCGTAAGTCCAACTGCATCTTACAGTGATTGTATTCAAGCAGTATAAATTATCAGTGATTATTTATATTTTCAGGAGTTTTAGATGAGATAAAATATTAAAGTTTTATACCTAACAAGAAGCTATGCAAAGTATTCAGAACATTTCCAATCTGATAATAGACTAAAGTATTTCTTGGATGCACCTTAGTTTATTTGTCTGGTCTTGGTTAAATTTAAAAAGATGGGCGTCATTTAGCGGTGTTTTGACTTTACTTTTTTTTAATTTGATTATGAGAATTTGGATTTAAATTCAAATATTTCTATGATATCAATCTGATATTATTCAGTAATTCATCTATTAAGCCTAGTTCTCTAAATGATCAATGTTCAATCCGTTCAATCAATTTAAGTTCTGTTATTAAAAAATCATGTTTGTGATACGTGGATCACTTACGAATATCGGTAATCTTGTTATCTTTTAAATAAGAAATGTAGCTGACAGTTAATCTATTTACCTTTGTTTAGCGTGGTTAGTAATTAAATGAATTATGACAGAATGATATTGTTCAGATAGTGTTAAGATATGAGAAATCAATGAGAATAATAAATATTGGAAGTTTGTTTGCTCCCAGCTCAATTATTAACTGTTGTTTTATCTTTATTGTTATCAATGTGTTGTAAATTAATTATAAGCCTGTCCTAATAAACAAGTGTTATAATTTTTAATTTATAGTATATTATGACCTATAATTGTATCAGAGAATGTTGTAAAAAGCGTATAGTCATGTGTTTTCACGAGTGGAGTGATGATTGAACAAATAATTGTGATGTTTAGCAGGTTATTACTCAACTAATAGAGAAATTACATAAATTGATGCACAAAGATTGTTGACAACTAATTCATTTTTAGTTCAATATCAATCATCTTCTAATGCATTAAGATTTCTGTAAATAATATTCCGATCTGTATAATTGTCAATTAGTAACTAATGATATGTAACAGATTGTTACTATAAGCCGAATGTTTTCTAAATGCTAAATATCTCTATAATAATAATGATAATAATAATAATGGTATCATGAATACTATTCAACACGTATAAAACGATATACATAAGGATTCATAATAGAGAATGATTGTTTGTTCCTTTACATAATTTTATAGGTCAATGAATATCTATAATATCCATTTTGATTACTTCATCAACTTTCTAACAAATAAGATAAATGTCGAACTAATCGTCTAGTTGAAGTATTTCTAACAATTTCAACAAGAGGATGAAAGGTTCTTTGTCTTTACTTGTTTACCTTTATTTTCATAAAAAATGTTTTATAATTTAGAGAAAATAGAGGTAAACTGGTCTAAAATTGATCACACTACGAACTGTTATTTAATTATCTGAAGAAGAAGAGGAAGAAGTATGAACTATGTGAATAAAACTAGGAGACTTTCAAGAAGCAAACTGTACAAAACAGTAGTACTATTAAAATTACAAACATTTTCACTAAACTAGAGGTTTTAACCCTAGGTCTAAAATTTTGTGATACTCGTAATAACTGTAACCACATCGATACAGATATACAGTTCGAGAATCTTTATAGTCAGACACGTGATCTAGTTGTGAATTCTGATCAGTAATTAGAGCATTTTAAATCAACTCTTGTAGACTGCTGTTACCAATATAAGAACAATAAATTTAGTTACAAAAGCATTCTTACAAAGAAGCACAAGGAAGCTATCAACCTACTTCTTAAGAATGAGGCTTTACTGATTACAAAACCTGGCAAAGGTTCAGGTGTTGTTCTCCTTAATAAAAGTGATTATATTCGAAAAATGAGTACAATCTTAAATGACAAATTAAAGTTTCAAAAAATAACTGACCAGAAAGATTTGAATAATAAGATAGAGAATGAGCTTACCAGAACTTTGAAGAAGCTCAGGGACCAACAGGCTATCTCATCGGGTTTATATGAAATGATTAAACCATTGGGAACCTATCTGCCGAGATTGTATGGAGTGCCAAAGGTACACAAACCGGGGATCCCATTAAGACCTATTCTAGATATGTATAACTCTCCTTACCATACTATAGCTAAATGGCTGGTAACTGTATTGAAACCTCTACACGAAAAGCTTGTAAAATATAGTGTTAAGGATGTGTTCCAGTTTGTTGATAAAGTCAAAAATGCAAATACGTTGAGATCAAAGATGACATCATTGGATGTAACATCGTTATTCACAAACGTCCCACTCATAGAGACTGTAGAATATATAGGTGAACAGCTGATTGAAAATGAAATTGAAACTACTGTTCCTACCAATATCGTGAAAGAGTTATCACTCAAATGCACCATGAATGTGAATTTCAAGTTCAGCGGTGTAATATATAGACAAACAGATGGTGTTGCAATCGGTTCACCACTAGGCTCTATACTACCTGGTATTTTTCTAGCCAAACTAGAAAATGGTCCACTAAAAAAGATTATTCAAAACTTCACATTTTACTTTAGATACATGGATGAAACGTTCATCCTCTGTAAAGATAATACGTCGCCGCAATTCAAATTCTTAGGCGATTTAATGAAGTGCATCCAACCATTCAATTTACTTCTGAAGAAGAGAGTGATGGCCGAATAGCCTTTTTGGATGTTCTCTTGACTAAGAGAGCGGATGGATTGTTAAAAAGGAACTTAAACAGAAAAAGTACATGGACTGGGCAGTATACGAATTTCCTGAGCCTTGTACCTATACAGTACAAACGAAACTTGATCAAAACCCTTAGTTGCCGTATACACACTATATGTTCTGCTGATATAGTTGAACAAGAGCTTAACACCTTGCATAATACTCTAAGGGAGAACGGCTACCCTAGAAATTTTATAATTAAATGTATGGTCAGGAAGGCGAAAATAGACGAAATACAAACAGTGAAGAAGAAATCCCTGTTCATGCGTCTACAATTCAGAGGGGATGCGGCTAGTAAAATACTAACTCAGAGACTACGTAGGACAAAAGTCTTTTAACGCCGGAGAACTGCGATTAGTAGTTTCTACGCGCCCAATGGTTACACCGAGGCTAAAAGATGAATTACCTAGAATGATCACCTCATTTTGTATTTATCAGTTCGACTGCTCCTGTGGAGCGAGTTATATTGGTCGAAGTTCTAGGAATTTACATTTTCGTGCTCGTGAACAGCTTCCAGCGTGGCTAAACAAAGGTTTGATGGAGAAAGTGAACAGCTCAATATTGGCCCATTTTGTACAAACCGGTCATTATTATTATTATTGGCTTTATTCAATATTATGTATTGGTACAATATAGAATTCTCAGCACATCGTCATAATGCTAGTATAAACCAATCTTTTTCAATTATTTATAAGGTCAGTAATTTTTTGCCAAAACTGGTCAGACTTAAAGTCCTTCAAGGGGCTGAAGCAGTAGCCATCCGGAAGAAGAAATATATTCAACCACTCCTCCTCCTCTGGCCAACATCAAGGCCAATTAATCAAGTGTGATCTTAACTACTGAATGACCTAATTTGACTATGACCTTTCGTAGTCAATTGTAATTGTCTCTGTTATCTTTATTCATACATCTTTGTATTATTATTATTATTCGTATTACTGGTTAAACATCAATATTAATCTCCTCTATACATGATTCATTCACTTCGCATTCATCCCTCCGTATTACATCTTAGTTATTTGATCGAATTGTAATTGCACTATTATTTCTCTCTCACCCTATTTGACCCATATTTATTCTGATCATGGATCTTAAAATTTTCATTTAACATATACGCAGATTCAAGTTAATATCTTATATGAGTCATATTAACATTAACAATTTTATTGTATTTTGTTTATCACAATCCTAAATTCACATGCTCTAAACGATGTACTTTGCACTTAACCTGGCCATTTTTCGGATTATTAATTTGGATATATGAATTGTAGAATCTGAAGAGAATTTATCGAAAAGAATATTCTTCGTTCAAATATTAGTCTTTTAATATGACGGGGATCTTTAAACGATTAAAGCAGATACATTTGATTATACAGTTGTACGGAATAAAACTCATTAACTAAAAAGAGAATTTCGTGACATACCTTGTGGATACTATTAGTAGATGATTAATCCCAATAAAATAGAGAGCAAAAGTGATAAATATTTTTTGCTGTATTCAATGTATAGAGCTGTGTGATTATATAAAGAATTTATTGGATTTTTTTATTGTTCATTTCATAATTAAATTTTTCTCAAAGTAATTAAAAATCAGCGACTGTAGATTTTAACTAACATGATTATAAGCAATCTGCAATAAATTAGATACATTTATTATTTGTTTTTTCTCAGAACCTATATACCTCTTTATTAGTTGCTATCGACATTTAAATACTTCACCCGTAACCCGGGGCTTTATTCATCTCATTGAACGACTGTCAATATATTAATTCATTTAATAATCTTTTATCAGGTACTTTATCATTTTGATGATCAAGGTTTGAGTAATGATATGATTTTAAACCGATGTTTTCAACTATAAATCAATCAGATTGAATTTTACAGTTAAGACGATTCTGTCTAAATAAAAAAACGTTCTACTTTAAATTTCTTACACACTAAAAAGGAATTAGCCTTTCAGACAAAATAAATCAGTTGAGTGAAGTGTTCTCTTTTCGGTTGAATAAATCTATCTTATTTATTGTCTTAATGGGAGGGGTAGATTCCATTTACTAAATGATGAACAAATGATAAGAAATAGAACTTACTTTTGTATCATACGTTCCATATTTTCATATTCTACTCTAGCACCATTAACCTCTTTCATTATAGCCCTTAACATATCTTCAAATTCTGGTAATAAATGTGAATTAGCCAATTTCATGTATTTCCATATATGTTTTACTTGTTCATAGCTAATTCCGAAAAAAAACACAATAAAATTGAAAATAAAATAAGAAAAAGTAGATAAAGGTGAGTAAAACAATCTATTCAATTAAATTTTATTATAAAAAGTCAACTTGATAATAATTCCTTTAGTTTAATTGGAACAAAAAGTATGTGGGTAACAGTTTACATTTTAATTAAATGAATAATTACACTTGATAGTTTTGTATTTCACTGTGTATTTATTTCATATATGATATAAAGTGATAAAATTGATTTAGTTCGAATGACATCCCTATCTAGAATTAGTTTTACTAGTCATTAGTAAATGTTTGTTGATTATGATCATTGTTGTTTAAAAATAATCAGTATATTTTGCATGAGAAATCCATGATTCTTCATTTCTCAAACAGATAGTTTTTATTCATATAGTTTTATCATTATGTAATTCTAAACCGAATATTTGTATCGATAAGATAGTAAAAGGTATATGAATGATATTTTTGTATCCGGTGCGACTATAATTTATGGATGACCTTTGAGCAACGTTAAAAAGATCATGAGAATGTCACCGTACATACTACCGCCAATTCAGGCTTATAAACTAATGTGAGGAATTAGGATTAATATTTACAGTTGGCAGTTAGGGTTAAGAGTTAGATCTAGGGTTCTCACCACAAACTAACATCATCTTTAATGCTAAAACTTTATTTAGCCAAATAGATAAATTAAATTTACGTCAAAACTGAAGATATGTTATCGTAAATCTGATTGGTTCATCAATAAATTATAGTCTCGCCCCGGTGTGCTGTAATGTATCTTGAAGAAACATTCAGATATGTTTTCAACAATCGTATCGACACAAGTGGTGTTCGTCATGATTTGTATTCGGATAAAAAAGCGTTAGAGAAAACTCTTATTTACTACTGAAATTTTCGGTAGTTCTTGGATTGATATCACTTCACGATGGAAATCACTCTCAACATAAATGATATCTTCGATAATAATCAACTGGTTACAAGTTTTAAAATGTATATTGTAAAAAATTGTCGAGGTGTCATAACTGTTATACTTCGATGATGTTGACTAAAGATCATATCATATTAGAAATTAATTTAATTTCAAACTACAGTCCACTAAATTCCAATTCAGTGATATGAGGCTATCGTCCATGTTACATAGTATGTGTATAGTTGTGAATGCATAGTGATGAAAAGTTCAGTACTAGGGCAAAGCAACTATATATGTTATGTCTTTCGAAATGACATCTGCATTCGATGCATAGTAGCACACTTTTTGATTTGTATTGTTAACTGTTACACAAGTATATATTTGCAAATGTATAGATATGTAAAGTAAAATGTATTTATTCTAGTAGCTTTAACAAATTCTTTTTTTACCTTTTTAATACATTTTCTGGATCTAATGATGATATAATTTGATTGTATTGTTCGTCAATTTCTTCATCCAATAATAAATTGTTTGCTGCTTTGTCAACTAGGAAATGACCTATAATCAAGTAATAATAAACAAATGATGATAAGACTAATAGAAAGTGAAAATTCAAAATGAAAAGAAACGAATAACTTCAATTTCATTTAATTCATACTGGATTGTCAAATTTGAATGGGAAATTGAATTACTGTCATCCTGTTGAATAGTATAAAAACCGGTTTGTTTAAATCAAGGTAAATATATTTCAAGGTATGTGTACTTGAACATCTTAATGAATTTGAATTTAGCAACACCTAATCAGCCAAAAAATTTTTATAAATGATGTATATACATAAAATTACTTCAATTAGAACTAGGATTTCTTTCATTAAATAACCTCTTAATTTATTAAAATCGTTAATTCTGTAAAAACTTTGCATAATATGTAAATAAATTTCATTTCAAAATCCTATTAATTGAAGAAGGGTTAAAATAATGATCAATTAATGTCCATTTTCAGAATTCTATACTTTAAATGTTATGCATATTTTCTAGTTCAATATAATATAGTTTACTAAGTAGAATTAACACCAATAACAAATATTTTTTTATAAAAATTCCATGTGATGGCAAGAAGTTCACTCTTAAAATAATTGGCTATTGAATGACCTTTCAAAGTTTTGAATCTATATTTGACTCAGGTAAACAAAAAAACCCTTTATAGCATTCATCCTTAGCATATCAATAAATATTTGTGAACATCACCTAGTTGTTTCGTTAATATCAGTATAAATCAGTCTATAAGCACTGAATATTTGAAGATTTTAGTGAGTATCAATTTATACAAGCTGATAAATCTTTGATAATCAAAGAGATTCAACATGTTTGTTTTACCTTAACTTGAGATCTGAACATTCATTACAGAAAATCTGTAACGAACAAATTTAAGTTCATAAACTTATTAAGAAAGCTGTTTTATTTCATATTAACAGGAAATAACCCTAAATAAAGTGAATTAAGCATAGTATCTAACTTCATCTCATAGAGCATCAATGACACGTATTTACTATTGTAAGCGCAAAATGACAAGTTTCCTTACTTTGGGTAATGTATTCACAACGAATTCAGTGAACATCAATATAATTTGTACGAAAGAATTTTAAGCGAAATTTTTATGACAAATGCCTAAAATATCATCGATAGCTTAAAACCATTAAAAAGTTTTTAAACAGATTTTTATAACTAAACACTCATGGCATTTAACGAGATAGAATTGTAAAGTTTATATCATCTTACATGGGTTATACTATTAGACTAATAACATAATTCATTCTAATTGAAATAAAAAGGAAATTCATTTTTAACTTAATAAAATTCTGATTTCTATTCAAGTTTAATATTGTTTAACTCCGCATGGAGTCCCTCCGGGGGTTACTGCCGGTCCTAAGTCCGGATAAAGGAGGAGGGTTGGGAATGGGGTTAGCGACCCCATCCCGTAGAAAACTAACTCGCTAAAAAAACGCTAACCAGAAAAAATATTCAAACCTTTTAAACTCTGCCCTGGTAGTCAGAAGGTCTTCATTTAGAAGAGTTATTACGTCTCATGATGAAAGCCGAGTTCCTTCGGAAGTCACGAGGTCAATGCCCTTTCTGACAACCAGAGCAACCATTTATTTAGATACATGGAAATTATTATTGTTTAAAAAACTGGTTTAATAAACTATGATAGACAAATAAGAGTATAAAATAAAGTATGAAGCATTTTGAGACTATTATTAATTTAACATCATTCAAGGTGTAATCATCAAAAGTTCCATTTTAATCAAAGTTTAGACCATATATTAAGGATTTTTCAATTAAATATACAATATCTATCTGGTAAAGACTATACATACTTTCAGAAAATACAAAAAATTCCTACTGAAATACAAAATATACAATCTAGATGTTTATGGTGCTTCAATTTAATATATACGAAAATTATGTAAACTAAATAAGAAGATAGTTAAGCATATCTGCACTTTTTTAATTCGTAACCAAGAAAAGAAAAGAATACCTACGATTCTAGGTTATCATGATAATTACATTAATTAGTGAAAAAAAGGACGCAAAGAAGAATAATTTACTAAAAGATTAAAGAGACCATCGAAAAAGTCCAAAAGGTCAACATTTTTATCAATATTACAATAAAAGAAACCTCTTAATGCTTCATATGCGTATGTACAAAACTGGTTTACTTGATCAGTAATAGATTTAACAGTTAAACTATTTAGGTTATCAGTGACTAGGTGGTTAAATAATTTTTATGTTTATAAATATTCTAATAAAATTGTGTTACATTTTTTGTATTTATAAATATTATTTCACTGGAATGAAATAATACCAAAAGAAATTGTATTAAATTTATTTCATTAATAATAAAATTTTATCAAAACGAGTTTTGTGGATATTGTAGAAATTTCAATAGTTGAGATCATGAGTTTTCCACGGTGGTCTAGCTTCAATTGACTCATGATCTCAGCCATTGAAATTATTACAATATCCACAAAACCCACTTCTGATATTAATCAACATATGCTCACTAGTGACTGGCTTCAAAATGTATTTCCTGCAGTTCTAGTGAGAAGCAATGACCAGTGGAGTTCAACCAGTTCTGTTGTGAGATAGTAACTCACTGATGACAATGGTGGATGTGTCTCTCAATTTCGTGGATTAGTTGAAGTTAGACATTAACAGTGTTGGATGTCGACTGAGTGGTCTGGAGTTTGAGCGTTCGCTGGCGAGACTGATATGTTGTGGGTGTGAATCTCACGAGGTGGGGTCGTGGATATGCACTGGTGAGGAGTCGCAGAATAAAACGAGACGGCCGACCAGTGCATTCAGGTTTTTGATTGTAGTCTAGCTTCAATTGATTCATGATCTCAACCATTGAAATAAAAATGTAGTTCAGAAATCATTTCAAGAAAAAAATTTCAATCATTTTTACTAATATCATATTATAACACGAAGTTCAGCGAAGGGATCTCTTTTCAACGAATTTATTATCAAGCTGTACAATCGTATATATATGAAAATTTTGTTTTTGTAAAAGTACTAATTCCGTGAGGAAATGTGAATACAGTTAATAAAGAGGTTTTAATACTAGATTACGTAGTATGAATAATAACAATAACAATAGATTTGATGAATATAATAAAATGATCATAGAGGTGTAAAAAACAAATAAGGTGATATGATGAGTATGTACGAATAAAACAATGAGAATATAAATTTTCATATATATACGATTGTACAGCTTGATAATAAATTCGTTGAAAAGAGATCCCTTCGCTGAACTTCGTGTTTTAATTTTAATGTTTAAATGGGAATTATCTGTTAATATCATATTCAATAAATAAAGATAAAAATGAATGAAAATCTATTCAAAAGACTCTTCGTTGAAGATAGTTTACAGAGTCAAAAGAACTGAATCGAAGGAGGTTCGAATCAATATTTTATGCACCGTAGAGGCATTGGCAATCCACAAACTAAAGCCTGAACTTTGCGTGCAAAAACGATTTGTCCGACCTCTCATCCTTCCCTGGCCCTTATTCGCTTAATGGGTATGTTTCTAGGTTTTTTTTGTTTTTTTTTCTGCACTTTTATTATTATCGATATTTTTAAATTACTATTTTGCACTTTAAACTCTAATCATTTATTATTATTACCTTTTACAAGTTTTCTTGATTATCATTCAGTTTATTATTACCTTTGTTGTTTTGTCGTTTTCCTTCATATCTGTCAATTGGACTATTATCTGACCCATAAATTTTGTTCTTCCTTACCCCTTGATTAGTACGTTAACCTCATTTGTTATTTATTGTCGAATCCATTTCTTGCGATACATTCCTTTCTATCCTTCTATAGACAGATATTTTCCATATAACTATATATACGAATGTACAGCTTAAGTAAATGATTTCTTCGAAAAGAAAATTTTCTTCGCTGAATTCTTCTTTTTCTTATTCAATGACACTATGGGTTATTTTAATTATCAGAAATATTCTTACGAATGAATGTGATATAAAATGAATGGATCTGAATTGAATTATTACTTGATAATACAACAACTCAACTGCTCGAAAACTGATCCCTCGGAAATCATTACTTTGTTTACTGTTTTTAGAGTTAATGATTAATAATATATCTTGCCATAGAAACAACACGTTAAAAGTATTTAAAGATAATTCAGATATTGAAAATAGATCATATAGAACAACTTTATGCTCTAAAGATGACTGTTGTGGTATTAGATAAGAAGCGTTAATATTTGTTAAGAATTTTTATTGTCCTATGAAATGTTATTTATACAAATACAGTAAATAGCTAAAATAATCGATGATAAAGATAATAAGAAATAAGAGGTAATAAATATGCGCTGTGTATGTACAAGTCTAGGATTTCAAAAGAACGGAAAATAACTAGTTACCAGGGTAACACTATCAATTTAGTTTAGATACAAGTTATTTTTTTATCTAATCAAAAAAATATCAGCACTTGAAACTGTTTTATCGGTATACAGTTGTGGAGATTGTTGAGTTTAGATTGAGATCATGAATGGATCAATGTTAGACTACCATTCAAAATCTGAAAGCACAAGAAGGCCGTTCCGCCCCAGTATAGAACTTGTCAGCGGTGTGCATCGACGATCTCGCACGTAGAATTCCAATCCATGACCTTCGATCTCACGCGTGAATGTTTAACCTCTAGACCAGTTAGCCGGCATCCAAAAGCATTAGAGTCTAACTTCAACCAATTCATGATATTGCACGACCGTCACTTTAATCAATTTTATATATTTCATCCATTCATTGTTAGTGTTATTCTTGTTATTAGACATTGAAAATTTTTGTTCACTGTACTCTAATTGGAATGTTACTAAATTAGTTTTACACCATTAATGGGTATGAGATGGTGGAGAAGATTTGTAACTCAGGTGGATGAAATTTGTGCTGATGATGTCGTTCAGAAGAACGATGAAAGCTCCACGACCAAACCATCCAGCTCAGAGAACAAAACTCCACCAAAATTAATGGGTCTTTTTATTGATAGAATTTATTATTAGGACGTTCCACATTATTTTGTGAAATAAGACGATAATAATTTAAACATGTCTTTTATGCATTCGAATAATAAACTATAATTCATTTATTGACTGTATTAAAATTACAATTTACAATCCTGTGAAACATCTGATAACGAGATTGTTTGTTTTATATACTCTACAGCGGATAAATTCAAAACCGGTAATAAATCTTCTGTGATTAAAAGTTCTTTCATATATGTATCATATATTTCATGAATTCCTTTGATTACATTTATTGAGATTAGATAAAATCGTATATTTCAAATGGTTTTGTAGATTTCAGTGTAGGTTAATTCATTCTAACGTCTGTTATGAAAAATGCTAGAATATGAATTTAAGTTTTATTTGAATCCACCAAAAGAATTTATTGTGACATCATTGTGTAGGGAATCTTTTGAATCATAACGTATGATTCTATCAATTTCTTAAAAGTTACCTAAATCTTCACATTTAACCCTACTATTCAGTAATACATTGTTGTTAATCTTTGTAACATCCAGTACATAGTATCACAAAATCCCTCCAAACATGACACTATTGATTTGATATCACTACGAGATAATGTTTATTTATAACAATTACTGTTAACAATATTATGGATATTTGAAACTATTCATTTCGTTATATCTGAAACGAATCATTCTATAAAAGACCAAAAGTGTCGACCTTATTATATTACAGCTTAATATACTTTTGCCAATCATACTCGCCATACCTAAGTTAAACACAACATAACAGTTAAAGGACAGAATATAATATTCAGTACTTTCGACGGAATAACTAAGTATTATTATATTTCGGATTATTTTCTAGGTATCCCTAGCTCTATCAACAATACACTTTTATTCTTCAGATAATTCATATTACTTCCAATATATACCGATCAATCTTATAGTTCTTGATGATAAAGTGACATTGATTCAATAATAATTTTCTGAGTTCAGTGCTCATCCAACACTTTGTTTATTATGTCGGTAGATTGTATCTTACGCCAAGTAGTAAAATACACTCAAGGTCATGGTTATTATTATTTGTTTAACATTAGTTACTTATTTGTTATAGGCTCTAGGTCATTTTAGCTAGAAAGAACTATTTCAAAGAAAGAAGCAATCCTACTTTTTAATAAAGAGATAAAAAAGATAATCTATTATGAATACTGTTATTATTATCATCGGCAAGATAGTGAAAAGAAAGGTGATGGACAGGGTGGCGATCTAATTATTCCTATTTTTATATGTCATAGATATATGTCATGCGAATATAAGTCATAGTCTCATTTAAAATATTCATATCGCACTTCTAAAAGACCCATGTTTTGTTGACTAAACTGCCAAAATCGAGACTAGACTGAAGAATCACGTATGTCTATCAGATTTTCTAAAAGTATTTATCTGAATGTGAATACGAGATAACCCAATTAATGAAAGTGAGCTTCTGTGTTACGGATGTTATACGTAGATCAGTTTAATTTGTCAATGGTACTTATCACCCTATAATCTCAGTTTGAGTGCTTTTGATAACTAGAAAGCTCTTGACAGCTATTTCTCCCTTTAAACAGGCTATTTGAAAGTCCACGTCTATAACCCCTCTAGTGAACAAACGCTGGGCCTTGTTGTGAACGTTAATCCGCAAAACAACATACTTGTGTCACCTTTGAAGTGAACATTGATGTAGGTATTTTTCGGGTACATAGATGATAGGTTCTCATGAAGGTTTTAGTTTCATATTTCTGTCGAGAAATCTTGGTCGGGCCTTTTTTTGCAAGAATGAATAACTCATTTTCAAAGATGTTCAGACTGGAAATTCATCAAATACGTAAGGAATGAAATATAATCAATCCCTAATTTGCGTGATGATGGCCCAACTATGAGTATTTTTTCTCTATTTAAGGAAATGTAAGTCTTACCTTTGTTTATTTATAATTAAATTATGATGGCTGGTGAAATGTGACTAAAACGAACATCGGTTAAAGATTTTTCTAATATCTTTTCACTTTCTGTAGTAATCACACGTTTGGCATAATCATTACTGAGTAGTAGATGGTGCTAATAACTAGCAATTCACTGCTAAAGTGATTTGATTTTACAAGTGATTATTTGGAACCAGAACAACTAAATATCAGTATTTTTAATTATGCGGTCTGTTGAGAAAGCCGAATTCACCTCGTGATTACAACAATCAAAATAATTATACCGATCAAAGCTTCTAAAAAAGTGTCTTTATCAATTCAACAACTGTTATAGTACAACGGAGTCTTAAATCCCTTAGCTTGGCCATCAGACAGTTAACAACAATTCAGTTAACAACAAAGTTTAGCTAATCATCATCATTAATTATTGGAATTATTACAAGATAAGAATTTACTATATTACAAAATAATCACTTACCGAAACCTTGAATGAATTCATCCAAAGTCAATTGCCCATTTTTATCTTTATCTAATAAATTGAATACAAAATCCAGTTGTGAAATCGTCAATGGTAAACGATCACTAAGACGATCTAATGCTTGACGTGTTAAATAGCCACAATTATCTGTATCACAATGCATAAACAATTGACGAGCTTGTTCAATTATATCTGAATTGCAGTCATCCATTATTGTGTTGAAGTTTGAACACAATAATAATAGTATGGTTAGGAATAAGAAATTTCAAAGTAGTAACTGCAGAAACGCTATTGTCTGAAGTAAATTTTACAACTTTAGTGTTGCACGATTTGGTTATGTAATGAACATTTATTCTCTAACTAGTATACTTTGCATGGAACTCAAAATAGCTTAAAGGAAAAACGTAAACACACATACAAATTCATACTTAAGTAAGTACACATTTCACACACATACATACACACATTTCACACGTACATTCACACATAGATTTATGTACGTGCCTAATAAATATAAGTGGTAGTTTCCTTTCATTTCTTTCCCACTTATTGGGCAATTTCAAAAATTTTTTTAACAAAAATAGTTTAAGAATTTTTATACTATAAAATTCTTTTCAATGGTCTGCTTCTGGACAATATGGGCAAATAAGTATATTATAAAAGGATTTATACAATAAAAGTCACTTAAATAAAGAGTTCGGATTATTAAGAAAAAACGTAAATAACAGGGGGGGGGGTTATAATCGATTGCATTTTCTAGATAACTTATTTCATATGTGCTCACTGATCTGCACACACACACAGACAAATATCTTTCATGGCAATCATGTGATTTTGAGTACATTAATTATCAAGTAAACTTGTTAACCATTAAAAATACATGTGATTTTTACTCATTACTTTTATACTCAATTATAAGCGAGCTCCACTGTGTAAACAAAAAATATTATCAGAATTGGGTTTTGTGGAGTTTTCAGTAACTTAATAATAGGACGAAACGACCTATTGCTTCCATGTTTCCGTAGTGGTCTAACTTCAATTGACTCATGAATTCAACTATTAAATAGAAAACATATGCTTAAATTAATTAACCATTTCACCTGTAATCTGTATTTCAGGTAATTTTCAAAAATAAAATTACTTTCAAAAAGACTAAAGTGAAAAGGTACGTTAGATAGTTTTGAAGGTGTTATATATCATCAAGATTTTTTGTTAGAAAGTAGTTATTCGTGGAATGAATTCCGGCTCTTTAAATTCATTTGTTGTTACATATAAATTAACCGTCTGGTTACCTGGAATTAGTCTTCATAGTTCGATGTTGTTAACAAAAATGTTGTATTAGCTTGATTCTTATTATTCGAATCAGTCAAATATTAAGTGAATAAACATGGACTTTAGAAGTAATTCACTTTAAAGGATTGACTAACTTTTGTTAAATTATTACACTTAAACACGAAACAAAAATTTAGTATCGGAAGGGGTCTTGTGGAGATTGTAGTAATTTTATTAGTTAGGATCATGAGTCGATTGAAGCTCGACCACATGTGTCGCTCAATTTCGTGGATTACTTGAAGTTAGACATTTAAACCGGCTCAGTTCTCTAGTGGTTAAGCGCTCGCACTAGAGACTGATAGGTCCCGGGCTCGAATCCCGCGAGGCAGGGTCGTGGATGCGCACTGTTGAGAAGTCCATCCAGTGCTTCCGGGTTCTCTATGATGGTCTAGCTTCAACTGACTCAAGATCTTAACTATTGAAACAAAAGTTTATTTGAGTTTATAATTAAAAATGCCATTTGTTTTTTTAAATGCAAGCTGATATAATTTTGTGGTAAATTAAATTTATACATCAAGTATTTTTCCTGTAGACTATTTTTTAGCCAATGATATTCATTATTAGAAGTCTTATGTGTCTGTTTGCAAAACCCATGAATTGACAATAATGATGCATTACTGTTTGAAACATAAGTCTATATTAGAAACAGAGAGAATAAATTTATTTAGTGGACAAGTAGACATTTTATAACTACATAATTTTTTTCTAAAAACATCTTCAATCACTGATAGAATTCTAAACAAGGATTTAATACGACAAATTAGGAATATTTCAACTGTAAAAACTCTTAGAACGTGATTGGACGGAATGACATTCAGAGATCAGTATATTCGTAGCTTACAATTCGTTTTAAATTCAAAGATGTTTAAACACAGACTAATTATTGCAAATGAACTCATATTTAACAGCATTTTTTACTACAAATCAGGCTACATTTCGTTTGTTTATCTTATTAAATTACGGGACCTTAAATACAGGATGAAGTTTTATTATTCGCTAATCATCATTCATATTTGTATAAATAAAGCTCGCACGTTATCTGTTGGTTTCTAAAAACTGCTCATATAGATAAAAATATTTTTGATATTCTATTAAATCCTGAAAATTGAATGGCACTAAGAATTACTAGATATGGAAGATTAGGTAGGAGGAAAGTGCAAAATATATGGGAAGTAATCTTTAGTAGTTTGCTACTGGTAAATTATTTCATCTAACTCATTATTTTGATGTAACGGACAGACTTTGTTTTCAGTCATTTTTTGGAAACAGTGTGCTACAGTCCAGCGAAATCCGCGTAATTATATTCTTTATTAGCTTAGGAGCCAAGTAAATTGATAGAAAGTTTCACAGCTACGAATGATGCTTACAGTCATCTGGTTAGTAATTTATTTAGATAATAAGGCAGAATAATTGGCTGATTCAATATTTTCCTGAAACGTACAACTTCTGCAAAATACTTGTTGCTGTGTTTATCATGTCTGTGAATCAAAATCTGGCACTTAAATATTGTCGAAGAACATTGGTGCTAATTTAACTTTATATGAACACAAACTTCTGTAAGCTTTAAAATCATTTAAATTACATGCTTTCTGTCTGATAAAATCGTCTTATTTGCTTACATGTTCACATAAAATCGATCTCACGTATTAATATAATGAGCTTAACAATGATGTGTCTATAAGTGTCATACACCGTTATCTGCATGTAGTATCACTCCATATTTCCATATTTCTACAATAGAAAGATTGCTACAATAGAATAAAAGTGGGAAAAACAGTAGAACAATAAAGATATATGAACGAAAAACATTCTTTTCTATAATTTCTCATCAGGTTTTACAATTATATATCCAAATTAATATTTCAAAAAAATGTCTAGGTTTGAGGCAAAGTACATCATTTAAAATTAGGGATTATTTGTAATATAAATAATAAATCAAAAACATAAATACTTAAGGACAAATTTTCCTTGGTTTTGTTTTTCTACATTATAGAAGGAACCTGATTAACACACCTCATTATAGAACCAAGACCATATACACTCTAGATACAGTTAAAGAGGAAACAAAAGCATTGCGTACTAACCTGAAACAAAATATATATCCAAAGAAATTTATGGGTAAACAACTATCCAAGAAAAGAGAACATGAGAAATGCCTAACTGTGAGGAAAAAGCCTCTGTGTATGCGTTTACAATTTAGAGGCAATGCGCCCAGCAAAATGCTAATATTGAAGTTACACAGAGCAATCTAAAGAACTTTTGATGCAGATAAACTACGATTATTGTTTTCTACTCATCCGATGATCGCTCTTGGATCGAAAGATAAATTATCTAGATTAGCCACTTCTTTCAGCTGCTCTTATGGAGCAAGCTGTGATGATTAGGAGTATTTGAACTACTGTACTAATTAAGAATTCTTAGAAATAACGCATTTTAACCAAGAAAAACCATATGAACACGAAAGAACGTATTGTATTTGGAATTCGAAATTGAACGATCGTCATGTACAAAGGAATCACTAGTTCATACAAACACTACATCCGCCACAGCTTTAATAATGATCAATCGTACCTCTTCTCCTTAGGCTCATCATGTGCCTGTCCGATTGTATGGTGGATGTAAACTCTGTACTATTTGGGTCCTGGATTTGTATACGATCACCATGCCGGTTGTGTACTGAAACCATTGATACCTAGATTTGAACCATCGACCTACCAACACAATCCTTCCCCACGAAATAATGTTGGATGTTCATATCCCCAAGTTATAAATGATGTGAATTCATTTAAAACATACTTCTCATACTGACTACAGTATTTCATAGAAGTGACTTCACGATAAAGATAAACAACAGTTGATATGAAATCATCCGAATTGTAATCAAAATCGAGCTCATTTATTACTCGTGCTTCTCATTGAACAAGTTTCTCACAAGAAACAAATGCATTATGGGGACAAATAATATTTGACATGACATTAGGATTTGATTCTTCTGAAATATTTTCCTCAAATTTATCATGAATATCATTGGAGAGTAATGGATCATTGGAAAAATCAGCATTTATCAAAACTGCATCAGGTTTTTTATTAGTATTTGATTCATTCAACATATTTTCCTTAGATTTGCAAGAAACTTTATCAAAAATGTGTGAATCATTAGGACAAACCATATCTAGTAAAATCAAGATCATAATGAGGCTGAACATGTCAATGTGATGTTACTTTGGTCAAGATGATTCTGTATGACATATCATTGGATTAATTTGTGTGTAAGAAGGTGGATATGAATTATCATCTAGTTACAGAAAATGATCAAATATTTGTATAACTATCCGCTCGAATCTTGACTGACGTTTGTTTTTCCCTAAGATTTATTTATTTATCATATAAAAGTGATCCGTTCTATTTTGAGAAATAACATAAAATCTACATTTAAAATTAAATTTTATCATTTATTGGTTATAAACATAAGAATCTACGATTCAACATAACAGTCGCAATTTACAAATATTTATACACAACTACAAGTAGTATCGTATTGATGAAGTCACTTGAAGTAAATACCAAATCATATAACACACTAAATAAATGTCACTTGTTTTACTGATAATATATTTTGAAACAGGTGTTATTGGAAAAATGATTCTTTTGTTTAAATAAAGTCGACGGAATCGACAAGATATTGTGAAGTTTTTCCTTTATATTCCCTTTGGTTTATGTAACTGTGGTATTACTTTAGTCAGCTTTATCACAAGCTATTATTATTATCGTTTTGTAAAGAAAGTAAAACCATCAATTTTTCTTTCGAAACATTTTCCAAAATGAATTTTCATTTTGCTAAAATATGAGACATTTTGACCTATTAATGTGGCTCTTCTTCATGTAGCTTTTCGACTTGCAGTACGATATAAACTTCTATGGATTTAATTCGGTTATTTATTGATTATCTGAGTAAATTAAGCTTCAAAATGCCAAAAATTTAATTTTTACTCAATGGTATATTATAAATATAGAGTTTTATTACCAATATTATTACGC